TGCAGTAACTCACTGTGACCTTTGACTTCTTTCTCTTCATACCCAAAGATAACCTTAAAAAGACCTCAGACCCCTGATGATCTAAATAAATCAATAAACAATTGGTGGTGTTTTAAACATGCCACCTTCCAGGTTCCAATTACAACAGATCACTTAAACTCTTAGATTTGTGGTTATCAATAACAGTGGCTGTTAACGCTTGTCGGTAGCCAACATCATGCTGCTTGTTTCAGATATGTGTCAGCAAGGACTAAAACCTGTGCTTTGGGTTCAGTTAGGACAAGCGTTGGTGTCACATTGTAGCGAGGGCACAGTCAAGGCCCTGAGCCCATAATTGTCACCATCAAACTGCCTCTTCCCCACTGCACTCATGCTTAGCAAAATTATTGCTTGCTGCGGCAAACTGCTCAATTGGCCCTCCCAGGGCATGTAGAACAAAGCCAGCCTCAGAGTCCAGGCTGCAGTCCCCATGAAGAGCATTTCTTCACTTGTTTGAAGAAGACTTCACCAAAGGCTTTGGGTAAAAGATTATTGAATGAGCTTGCCACAAGGTCTCAACAATTCACTTGACTGTGTTGTGATTTAACAGCCCACTGGACAGAGTATCCATCCCACAGCACCTCTGGATGCTAGGCCTTGGGTCTTCTCCTGAAGTGCAATGGTGAGTCTAATACTGATTAACAATGGTTCATCTTTTTTCACTCTTCATTCGTCAGATGTTGGGGAGTAAAGACGAGCTAGGCTCTTTCCGGTGACATGGTGACTCATCACGTCTCTGTCCCACTCAGTCCGTGCCTCTTCGAATGCTTGCTCTTTGCCGGTTGCTACACTGTGCTCTGCTGACACACCAGGAAGAGGCGTTGTCTCTGACCTCAACAAGTCTGTGATTGTGGCTCAGGGGCAGGCACATAGCCAGGCAAGGAATGCGATTCAGTAGGTGTCGCTGTGGTGTGATGTGAGGTGCTGTGGGAGTGCTTGGGAAGGAGCCCAAGACAGAGCAAGTCAGACATCCAGAACAACAGATTCCACAGAGGAGATTCAGATAGATGGAACAAACCACATCACAGAACTTAAAAACCAAAACATGAAAGCACTGGCGTATGCAGTGATTCGTTTCTTAATGATCCATTCCTTATCACATTTTGTTGAAAATAATGATACCACCTTCCCACTTAGACTGTTATTATACCCGTGTGGTATAATATACCTGTGCCTTTTAACTTTTTAAATTTATTGCCGTTTGGGGGGGTGTGGGTGTGGGTGCAGGTGGGTAGCACTAGCACCCGTGGGGAGAACTGAGGACTTACTAGAATCAGTTTTGTGTTTCCATTGTGGGTCCCGGCATTTCAACTGGTCACTGGGCTTGTGTGGCAAGAGTTTCACTGGCTGAGTGGTCTCAACAGGCCCCATAAGTCCTTTTTCATATAGAATTACAGGGAGGTTGCACTGGTTGCGTGTGGCATGTTTTCAGAGAGGACACGGATAAGTTATAGAGCAGTTTGAGGCCTCTAATTGGCTCTTTGGTAGAAGAGACTCTTAGGCCTGACTTATCACAGTATGTCAAAGTTTCATTACTCAAGATAATGTGAGTTAAAACAAAAGCAATTTTCTCGAATAGTGCTGTTCAATATGGAGACCACTGAGCATAGCTATTTAAAAACTGTATTAATTGAAAGTATCCAAATTACAAATTTCAGTTTCTGAGTCACATTTCCATATTGTAAGTGTCCAACAGCCTACTGCTTACACATATTACAGTACAGAAGCACATCCCATCACTTCAGAGAGGTCCAGTAGGCAGCTCTGCACAGTGCAAGCTAACTATAGTTCAATAAATTCATTTACTCAGGGTAGAAGTTTAAAATTAATTGTACCATTAATTCTTTTGTTTTTAAATTTGGACTTAGTCTCTTTAGATGGCCAAGTTTTCTTTCCAAAAGCAGAAGCCAACATTTTCACAAATCATTTAACATGTTTTCTGTAATAATAAAGCGTATACTTGATGGATGGCCTGACAGTCATCTTCCTGGATCTGAGAACCAGATTTCTCAGCTGTCAGCACAGCCTGGCCACAGGCAAGACTGACCAGCCATCTAAAAGTAGCCACATGCAGCTCAACCACCTCCCTGCAGTGACATAGGGGACCTTCAGATGGAGGTGATCCTGAGTACCTTCACCACTAAGAGTAGAGGACTCAGGAGGCTTCCAGAATCTTCTTTGCACGGTGAAGTGTCAAAGACCACACATCAAAATGGACTTTTCAGATGCACTGCCAGGAAGCAAATAAATTACTCTCATGTTGGACCCCAGAATACGAAAGAACTTCTAAAGGAGACACAGGAGACACACATCAGTTTAACCTCTTCTGAGGGACGGTCCCTCTCCACCCACCAGGATACCTGTTCATGATCTCTGTGCATGTGCCGGGCCTAGGTCAGCACTATCCAGTCATCGGGTAACAGGCTGCAGTCTCAGAATTAGAAAGAAGTAGGAATCTGTCCACTCAGTGGCCATGGATGACTTGACACTTGGAGGAAATGAAATTTGTTCAAAGTAGCCAACAAAGGGATTGCGGGACCCTACCTAGTGAGCCAAGAAAGATGCTGTGATAAATAAGAAACAACAAAGAGCCGTGTTGCTGCCTGGCAAAAAGACTTTTCCCTGGTAGAGTAGTGGTGACATCAACTTTTACACTCACTGGTGAGAGCATAAGTTAATGCAGGTCTTTAGGAAGTAGCTTACTTTAATATGAGCTAGTCTCAAACATATCCACAATATTTGACACGTTATTTTTCACCCTTTAATATACCATAAGTGTCTAGTCTATAATATACAGAAATTCCCATTAAAATATTCTTTGAATAATTTCAAATAACCTAAAATTGAAAAGTGATTAAGTAAATCACAGTAAATGCAGTCATTAAAATGTGTTAACACATAGTTTTAATAGCACAGAAAGTGCTTAATTGCTTAGTGCTTTAGTTTACGAAGAAGGAACTACACAATCATATGTCAACATAGGCTCAATCATAGACCAAAAAGAGGAGAAATTCTCAAAACATTGGAGCAAATATTTTGACAAAGATCACTCACCTGTACTTGATTTTCCAGACTCATAGCAAAGAATTGGACAATTGCTCTCTGTAGTTGATATCAGAACCAAAACAAAGAGGTCCTTTGCCTTAATAATAATATTTTGTATTTCGCAATTCCCTTAACTTTCTCAGTTTCTATAAAGAATGGGTATTAATTTTACAGTTGGTAAAATTAGGACTTGACTCAGAATAATCCAAAAAGCAATTACTTTAAGTTACTTTGAGGGTAACTTCACTACTGGGTATGCTGGAATTAAATGAATAAACAGAATTCAGTGGTGTGGGCTTTCGTATAGATGTAGCTGTTGGGAATTGTATCTGAAAACCAGTAAGATGCAAGCCAATGCTACATTACCACAGACTAGAGCCAGGGTGTAGAACAACTAGGAAGTCTCTCCTCCCTCTGGTGCGGAACAGCTTCAACCAGAACACTGTGTGTTATATACCATTTTCCCTATCATGCGTATGGACAAAAAGGATAGACTCTGTAATAGAAACTCACACTAACTATGAGTTATTATTTAACGGATATAAGAATTACAAACTCGTTCCAGGTTCAGACATTGGTACCTGCATTGAATGATTGTCAGAGGCCTTGAACTTAGGTCTGTACTACCATGATGCTTGATACAAAAAGCATTGAGAAAAGCCAATGACTTTCCATCCATGAGGCATGGTAATCAATGCTTGAAAACAGTGGAATATGGAGCAATCAGGAATCTATAAGCAAACCCAAGGTACAGGGTCTGGATGAGCACTATCTGGAACACCACGCCCTCTGGGGAGACCGAGGGGATTTCGGCAATAAGTAACCTCAGCTGTAACAGAGGGTGACAGCCACCCTCAAGCAGATAATCAGCAAGTCATTTTTCAGGATTAAAACTAAACACGTCGGGGCTGGAGAGATGGCTCAGAGGTTGGGAGCACTGACTGCTCTTCCAGAGGTCCTGAGTTCGGTTCCCAGAGGCCACATGGTGGTTCATGACCATCTACGGTTCAATCTGGTGCCCTCTTCTGGTACGTGGGCAGAACACTGTATATGTAATAAATAAATAAATAATAAATAATGAATCTTTTAAAAAAATTCAACATTTCAGTGTTCTTTCAATAATATTTAAACTTAGCCAGAGAGTGGTGGTGCACGCCTTTAACCCCAGTACTCCGGAGGCAGAGGCAGGTAGATCTCTATGAGTTTGAGGCCAGCCTGGTCTACAGAGTGAGTTCCAGGACAGCCAGAGCTACACAGAGAGACCCTATATTAGAAAACAAAACAAAACAACAACAACAAAAACTATATCTCAAACACAGATGTCTCCTGATACGTGAAGTCCAGTGTAATCCATGCATCATGGTGCACAACGACACTGTGAAGTCTTGAAAATTGTTGTTACATTATTTGTTTATGTGAATAAATGTGCCCATGAGCATGAGACGGAACATACATGGAGGTCAGAGGACAGCTCTCAAGAGGCAACTCTCTCTTTCCACCCTGTGGGTCTCAGGAATCAAACTCAGATGGTCAGCACTGGTGGCAAACGCCTTTACCTACTGAACCATCTTGCTGGCCTGACACTGTGGAGTTTTGTCCAGTCTGGGATCCAGTCTATTTCCTATAGTGTTGCGTACATCTGTATGTTGTGTACATCAGGCTAGTTGAGGCAGCCTGAATGGCTTGCTCCTTTGTTCCTCCATGAGTTCTCTCTGCTCACTCCCTAGACCCAACTGTCAAGTGGGTGGGAAATAAGAAAAATAAACTTAGTGTGAGTCCTCCTCTCTTCTTCAGAGGCCAGGGAGGAAGCCAGCTTAGAGGTCCTGTCGAATCCCATGCAGGTTGCCTTTGGATGAGTCTTGTCCCTTTTCATCTTTCTGGGATAAGCCAGTGAAGTCCGAAACTTTGTTTTGCAGCGGCTGCGGCAGCAGACATGGCGTACCACCACATCAGACCTCCCATCGGCTACTCCATCCCCAAGCCCATCTCGTCTCTGCTGATGCGGGGCTGGAATGCATGTCCCGAAGTGAGTGACTTTGTTTCCTCTTATAAAATGTGTGGTGATTCACAGTCTATGGCTCCAACATCCATTTCCAGTGCTCGTCAGAACAACATGGTGGGGAGAACTGACTGCCTCCTGTGTCTCTCTCTAATGACCCTGGGAGGAGGCCATCAGAAGTTGGGATTTCTTTGTCGCTACTCTCTGGTTTGACGTGTTCCTCACAGTGGATAAGGAAGAAGAGAGGCCTGGAACTGAGAGGTGAAATGCGGTCTTGTCGGCTTCATTGTAATGGGTTTGAGCCAGTGTCTAGAGAAAGAACTCCCTGGGTTGGGAGACGACACACAGCCCCGTCAGTCAGTGTCTAGAGAAAGAACTCCCTGGGTTGGGAGACGACACACAGCCCCGTCAGCCAGCTTTGATTTGGCTTGAGCCGCAGAATCCTTTTCTAGAGAAAACACTTTGGGGTGAGATAGACTCCGGCTGGCCTTTCATGTGATGTAGCAAGCCTGCCACAGACCTCAGGGGACGGGGTCTCTAACAGCTGCCTGAATCTGGCAGCACCAGCCACAAATACCAGTTGTTCCTGGTGTTCTCAGAGGACAGGGCGGTTCTGCACTATCTCCCTTGTACTGGAGACAGCGGGAACTATGGATCTCTCTGCTGTTGCTTTCCCCCATTTGCCCAAATCTGGTGAAGACATCATGGGTCTACCTAAAAGGAGGGCAGTGGCCGGTGCTGAGCTCCTCGTGTGTAAATACCAGAAGACTGCCACTGTTCAGGACAGTGGTTCACGGCTGTTCTTGTCTGTTCTTCAACAACTTGATTCTTCATTCTTCCTAAACCTCTCCCCCAAGAAAGCAAAGGGAGGCTATTACTATTTCAAAAAGTACCCCCAAAGGACAGATAGAGTAAGCCCCACTTTAGACATCTGAATAAAAGGGTATGATTTGCCCTTTCTTTTTTCTTTTTTTTCAGTTATATTGTTTTTTATTTAAATTAGAAACAAGCATGTTTTACATGTCAATTCTAGTTCCCTCTCCCTCCCCGCCTTCCCTGACCCCCACCGACCCCCTATCCCATCCCCTTTCTGCTCCCCAGGGAAGGTTAAGCCTTCCATGGGGCATATTCAAAGTCTGTCATATCATTTGGAGCAGGGCCTAGGCCCTTCCCCATGTGTCTAGCCCCTCTATGTGGAGTGGGCTCCCAAAGTACATTCGTGAGCTAGGGATAAATACTGATGTACTACAAGAGGCCCCATAGATTGCCCAGACCTCCAAACTGACACCCACATTCAGGGGTCTGAATGGGTCCTATGCTGGTTTCCCAGCTCTCAGTCTGGGGTCCATGAGATCCCCCTTGTTCAGGTCAGCTGTTTCTGTGGGTTTCTCCAACCTGGTCTTGACCCCTTTGCTCATCACTGCTCCCTCTCTGCAACTGGACTTCAGAGTTCAGCTCAGTGTTTAGCTGTGGGTGTCTGACTCTGGGCCCATCAGCTACTGAATGAAGGTTCTAGGATGGCATATAAGGTAGTCGTCAATCTCATTATCAGGGAAGGGCATTTAAGGTAGCCGCTCCACTATTGCTTAGATTGTTAGTTGGGGTCATCCTTGTGGATCTCTGGACATTTCCCTAGTGCCAGGTTTCTCTTTAAACCTATAATGGCTCTGTCTATTATGGTATCTCTTTTCTTGCTCTCTTCTATTCTTCCCCAGACTCAACCTTCCTACTTCCTCATGTCCTCCTCTCCCCTCCTCTTCTCCCCTTCTCTCTCTCCTAACTACCTCTCCCATCACCCCATGCTCCCAATTTGCTCAGGAGATCTTGTCCCTTTCCCCTTCTCCAGGGGACCATGTATGTCTCTCTTAGGGTTCTCCTTATTTCCTAGTTTTTCTGGTGTTATGCGTTGTAGGCTGCTAATCCTTTGCTCTATGTCTAAAATCCATATATGAGTGAGTACATACCATGATTGTCTTTTTGTGACTGGGTTACCACATTCAGGATGGTTTCTTCCAGTTCCATACATTTGCCTGCAAATTCCAATATTCCATTTTTTTTCCACTGAGTACTAGTCCATTATGTAAATGTACCACATTTTCCTTATCCACTCTTCAGTTGAAGGGCATCTAGGTTGCTTCCAGGTTCTGGCTATTACAGTTGAACAGATGTCCTTGTTGTATGATTTTTTTTCCTTTTTTTTAAAGCAACACCCAAATCATTACCCAACCTACTATGTCCATAGACACTATTAGAAGAAAAGTGGAGGTTCACATAAAAATATGGTTTCCTTCTGGCCATTCAATCTGATGTGCATTGTATTGAATTTAGAATCATCTCGTAACTAGCAGGGTAACAGCATAAGATCAGAGCTCATTTTTTTGTTCAGATTTGTTTTGTTCATTGTTATAACCCCAGCATCCAGAACAACACATCACAAATGCTCAAAAGCATATTATCTGTAGAATAAATGGACAAGTATGTCTTTTTGCTACCTGTCTAAGTTTTGGTGTCTGGAAAGTTTTATACTGAAAATTGCACGACTTAAAATAGTTTGAGGAGACATTTCCTGGTCTTGCAGTGTGAACCTAGAGAGCATTATCTGGAGATAAATGTACAGAATCCCTCACCCAAAAATTCCCTTCTCTCTGCAGGAAGAGAGTTGCGCCAAGTTTTCACGTGAAATATCAATAAAGGGATCTATTTGTGTGTGTGTGTGTGTGTGTGTGTGTGTGTGTGTGTGTGTGTGTAGGGAGGTTGTTTTAGTGGGAAAGTTGTATTACTAAGGACTGAACTTTTATCAGCACAGAATACAGGCTGTAGGTTCAGGGAGGAAGATGGAGACAAGGTGTCCTTGAACAGCAGAGACACCAAATTGCTGGTAATACTGGACTTTCACTTAAGTCATACCTTGACCCTGGCATCTACCTTGTGACTATGATGTCCTTGTCTCTCCATTGTCTTTACAGTGCCCAGAATGTCATTACCATATCACCATAGGGTGAGTGGTAAGATGATGGGAATAAGGGACAAAGAGTCTGATTTTTGTTTTCCTTTAACAATCAATTTATCAAGTCCCTACTTTACTCTGACCTACTATGGGGTTAGGGATTCAGTGGGGTAGTGTGTTAGCTGAGGACAAGCCAAGATTAAGCTGAATACAAGACTTTAAGAAAATGAACACCAAATCAACTCCAGAAAGTTGAGGGACAGAGAGATCATGTGAGTCCCATGGAAGTCTTCCCAGAAGTGACACTTGGGCAGAGATCAAAATCCAAAGACAAGCAAGCATTCACTGAATAAGGGGCTGATGAGAGAATAAAATCATTCAAGCAAAGAGAAAATGTGTAAGTTCACCCTGAGTAAGGAGATCAAGCAACACTGAAGCCATTGCAGATTAAACCCCTAGGCCGGGTGCCATTTGATAAAAGATCTTCAGATGTAGAAGACTAATGCTATGTTACCCTGCCCATTTCTTCGTTTTCACATTCGTTTTTGAGAATTTCAGACTTGAGTACTACATCCACATCATCTCCACCACCACCTCACCCCCAGGCACTCTCAAAATGTGTAACACAGATCATGTTGTGCCCAAATTCTGAACCCCAAAATCACCAAGAGGCCCATTTCGATGCAAAAGCAAAGAGGCTTTTATTGTAGATGTTTAACGAGCTAACCCCATTAGCTGGGGCCTTCACCCCCCCACCATGGCGAATGGCTGGAGGAAGACCTCAAGCAACCTCAAGGCAGGGATCTTAAAGGGCAGCATAAGGGGAGTGTCTAGGGGTATGAAACAGTCTCAGGATTGGTGCGCTTCCAGGTTTGGGTGACCCGCCCTGTGCTGATTGGTCAACTGATTGTTATGGCCCATAAGCCCTCCCAGGGCGGTTGCTATGCTCTGTACGTCACTTTTGTGCACTGTCCTTAAAGCACACCCAGAGCCATAAAGCACAGCCCCGCCAGCTAACTTCTGATTGGTTCCTTGCCACGGGGAGGGCATCTGACCTTAGTGACCAGGACAGGAACGGCAAGGTCATGCAAGCACATGTTAGCCTGTCATGGCTGCTAAAATGGGGGACTGGTCACTACAATCAAACCCCCAATATCCCAAAGACTGTTGTACTGGCTTAAGTATCTAGGCAGACTAAGGCATTTCCTGCCAGTAACATAAACACAAGGAAGTATGTTCTGTTGTTTTTTGTTCTGTTTTTAAAGGCATGGTCCATGTAATCATGGGTGGCCTGGAACTTGTAATGTAGACCAGGCTGACTTTATAGATATTAGAAGACGTTGGGAAGTCTCAGAAACCACAATATGAATTTACACGTAATTTTAATTTTGTCTCTACAGTGGTAAAAAAAATAACTTATATAACAGAAGTACTTTGTAGAGATATAATTTGTTAGGTATAAAGGATTTCTCATCATTTACTGAAACCTTTGCTTATAACTCTGTTCATGACATAGCTTCTCGAGTCATCTCTGACTGTGTACTACTCACACTACCTGGTGTGTCAGGAGGCGGGTCCCCATCCCCTTCCTGCAGAATGAGCGTTCCTGGGATGGAACCTGAAACTGCACATTCACTCAGCAAGCACCCTGGCAGCACATGCCCAGTAGAGATGAAACTAAGGCATGAAAACTGCAGGGATGTTGTAGGGTCAGAACAGCCCAGGGGCTGATGGCACCATGATCCAGCTGAGTATAACAGGCATTTGTGCGGTTGCCATGGGGACTCGAGGGGACTAGCATAAACCTGAGATCTATTGCAAAGGAAGCGCTCTAAGGGAGAGACAGGCCTTGCGTGTGCCCACGCTCGCACAGGGGGCGACTCTGCTGCCTTCTGAGAGGCAGCCCCGTGTGGAAGAGGAGGCTTAGCCCCTGAACAGCTGAAACACTGGTGGCAACGAAGGGAGAGAATAAAGCTAAGGACTCTTCCGTTACAGAGACGGTACTTTTAAAACATCAGGGAAATGAAAGGCAGAGACAAGAAAGCATTACCCCGTCCATCGCTCAGAGCAGAGGATGCTG